AACAGTTCAACAGTTCAACAGTTCAACAGTTCAATAGTTCAACAGTTCAACAGTTCAACAGTTCAACAGTTCAACAGTTCAACAGTTCAACAGTTCAACAGTTCAACAGTTAAACAAGTAAACAAGTGAACAGGTGAACAGTTAAGCAAGTAAACAAGTGAATAACTTGACAGTTGATTGAATGAACAAGTAAACAAATAAACAAGTGAACAAGAAAATAGAAAGTCAGGGAAAGAAAAGAAATGAGAAGAAAACGATAAAAAGGTTTGTACAACGGGAAAAGAGAAATGAGAAGGTTAGGAGAGATCAACAGAGCAAAAGATTAAAGAAAAAAAAGAAAAGAAAATACGCTAGAATAAAAAGCATAATATTAAGTGAACCTCCATGCAACGATGCCAATTTTCGATTCACAACGGTACCCTTAAAAGCGATGTGTGAGCAAGTATGAATTAGATATTAATGTTTTTAATTTAAAAAATGGTTATTTTTAATCTTGATTACTCTACAAAACCGACTGTTGCAGGAAAACATATAGGAACTATAAGAATATATCAATAACAAACCTAAAAACTACAAAATCTTCCACAATATTGATCAGATAAAGGTTTAAATTTTAACGTTGTTAATCGATCATTCACATCTCTGCATGTAAAGTAACTTGAAATTACGCTCACAGTCCCCTTAATTAGAGTAATATGAGAAACAATGACAACAATGGAGTCTTAATTAATAAGAAATTGAATGTTTGGATTATTAAATCTTACTTTAGAAGTTCTGGAAAAATCTCTTCAGGTTTGCCTTGAATAACAAACAGCCGTGTTCCCAACTTTCTAAAATTTCATGATTGATGATTCTTTACAAGCTTTGAGAATAAAACTTTGACCGTGCCGGACTGAAAATACACGATTCAGTTCGGACATGAAACTATCTACTGGTTGTTGAAGCTCATAGCAATCCCAATATTACACGATTTGATTTAATTTGATTTTTGGAAGTGGTAAAGAGCCAGCAGATATCTTGNTCACGGATGCGGATCCGCGGATCCGGATCCGGATCCGAATCAAAATGGTATGGATCCGAAACACTGATTAGAGTAATATGAGAAACAATGACAACAATGGAGTCTTAATTAATAAGAAATTGAATGTTTGGATTATTAAATCTTACTTTAGAAGTTCTGGAAAAATCTCTTCAGGTTTGCCTTGAATAACAAACAGCCGTGTTCCCAACTTTCTAAAATTTCATGATTGATGATTCTTTACAAGTTTTGAGAAAAAAACTATGACCGTGCCGGACTGAAATTACACGATTCAGTTCGGACATGAAACTATCTACTGGTTGTTGAAGCTCATAGCAATCCCAATATTACACGATTTGATTTAATTTGATTTTTGGAAGTGGTAAAGAGCCAGCAGATATCTTGGATAATCTACTTTTCAATCTTAACGAGAGTTTTTATAAATATAAAATTTTATTCCTGAGTGATGAATCAAGATCGTTCAGGGACTGAATAAGAAATCTCCACCTAAAAAATACATTTAATAAAATAAAATTTGATCTTTCGTGGCTGAAAATATTTAATCTTGACCGTTGTTAGATATTAAACTAATGTAATGAAATTTTGATTTTTATCAATATTCATCTATCCCCAAGGCAGCGATAGAAAACTTAAACCAATTAAAAAAAAACCCAACATTGCGGGGGGGAAAGAGTTGAAAAGAAATATACACCGTCCGTTTTACCTATTAACTCCTACTCGGGCGTTCTTAACAAACCATGGGTCTAGGAGAAAAACTGGTTTGAGAGGAAGATGTTGAGATCCTACAGGTTTACATGCTTCCAACAGTCCTAAATTAATGCAAGGTTAGTAAAGATGTTGAGATCCTACAGGTTTACATGCTTCCAACAGTCCTAAATTAATGCAAGGTTAGTAAAGATGTTGAGATCCTACAGGTTT